AAATTGAATTCAACACTAACAACACTAACAGAAAAAGTAAAAGAAAACAGAAAAATATAACTTTTCAGTTTAATTACTAAGCGAATTACATGAACCCTAAATCCCTAAAAAGTGATGAATAGTGCTTAAATTTATTTTAATCCTAAATAAACCATAAATCTTAATTAAATATCACTTCTAACACAAATCCATGACCCGTATGCTAAATATCAGTAAAAGTTAAACAAGATTTTGTTAGAATAAAAGGAAAAATACCTGTCAATGGCACCAAGAACAATGTTAGAATCGTCTGTGCTTTGTGGTCCCTTTCCAATGTTCTATTCTATTCCTTCAATGGAGATTCATTCGGTTGGTGGGTGGAGTAAAGTTGTTTCCTTCTGTGGTCCTTTTCTGGGTTGTGGGGTTTAATAGAAGCTTTTCTTTGTTCTCGATCACAATGCTTGGAGTCGAACGGTTTCTTGGCATTCATCTGTCTTTTTCTTTTTTTTTTTCAAACCAGTCAGCAGTGGGGCCCACAAAGACTTCCCGCTCATGGGGTCCAAGTTGGCATGCCAAGTTGTCAAAAAAGTCTGAGGTGGCGCTGACATGTGCATACTTGACGGAGGCCAACGGTGCACGTGCAACACGTGACGCCCCGGCGTTAAATTTTGCCTCATTTCCTCAAACTCGAAAATATGGAGGGTAAAAATCCATGTATTGTAATATGGAGGGTAAAAATCCTCAAAATCGAAAAGTTAAGGGGTAAACGGGTACCTTTTGCCAACCAACTGGTAGTCGTCCCTCAAAGTCACCGACGATTGAGCTTCAGCCATACCCAAAGCCGTTGGATTTCTCTCTTCCCCTTCCAAGCGACCTTCGACTTCTCTCTTCCTTCGGTTTCCTCTTTTTCCCCATGTAGATCTTTGGCCTCTCCCTTCTCTTCCCGCTGCAAATTGCTTTTCAACTAGTCAGTGACAATCTTCCCTTTCCTCTCACCTTTCTTCCCTTTCCTCTCACCTTTTCTCCCTTGTGTAGCCCCTTCTTTTTTGCAAATCTACCAGTAACTACTTCGTTTGTCACCAGCTCCTCCCATGGCTCTCAAATCCGTGAATCTCTACCAAATTTATGGTCATAGGAGAAACTTAAAGGCGAGTCAAAGTTACAATCGGTGTGGTTGAAGCTGAATCTGTCGATTTGGAATGGCAGTGATGGTTACGCGCAATGGCAGCAATGGTTGGAAATTCGCAACTCATCAATTTGTACTTGAACTGGTTGGAGATCCATCTACAACAAGAAGAAGAAGAAGAAGCATGTCCACGTGCTTGTCAAAGGGCCAAGCCGTTTCCCTTGTGAATCAGCTAAGAAACCCTCACCATCGAGCCTTCCATAGCAAATGTAAAGTTTGGATTGGGTAAGGTTTAGATCCATTTTGGTTTAGAGTTAAGGCTTGGTGTTGAATAGAAAGATAGTTTTTTTTTTCTAAGGAGTATAAATAGAGGGTTTTAGGTTAGAAAACGGGGTTTTTTGGTTTTGAATTTTGGTGTTGATGGCAAAGAAAAAAGAGGGATTTTGGCTAGAAGGAAGCAGCAGCTTGAGAGGAGATCGTTAAACTCTTAAAGGAGTGACTGTTTTTTTCTTTTTTTTTTTTGGAAGCTGCGTTTCTGGATTTATCTTTGCCTTAGGTATTTTTCTACAACAGAGGAGTCCTTTTGGGGAGGCAATGAGGGGAATGATCTGGGCTTGATCCT